AATATAATAAAATTATTAATATTAATATTTTATAATAAAAATAAATTAGATAAGCTTATACATACTTGTTGAAATTACATAAACAAGTCTATCAGATGATGGGTAATATTACTTTAATTTAGTTTTAGCATTATTAGCAACCTCAATAATATTATTTGATCAAGTCGTACCAATAAAATCCTTAATTATATCAATTAAATAATTATAAATTGGAACTGTTTGATTGAGTGTTGGTTTACTTATTTCACTCATTTTAAGAGTAGCTAATTTAAAATACTAAAATATTAATTAATATTAAATATATATTTTAAATTAAATAATATTTATTATATTATAAATATATACCTTTAGTAAATTTTTAATTTCCTCAATTTTATTCCATTTATCATTAGATAATAAAAATTCTGTTAATTCCTCATTTATTGATATTATACTATGTAATGGTTAATAAAAAATTTTGTTAAAATAAAATAAAAATAAAATAATTATAATTTATAATTTACCTCATGTAATATTAATGCTCTTTCCATCATATCATAAGTTGAATTCCAACGTATTTTAATATCTAGTATTAATTGAAGATTTCTAATTTTTGAAGCAATACATTGATGATTAAATTTTTCATGACTTTGAGGTGATGCACGAATTTTAACTACTAATTCTCTTAACTAAAATTATAATAATATTATTAATAATTAGTATAAATTAAAATAAAAAATAAAATTTTATACCTTTTCAATTACTCTCATATTTTGATTGTTTTTTATATTTTCTAATACATTTCTTCCTTTCCTGTCTAACTTCTTTTAATATTAAAAAAGCTTCTTGAGTAGCTAAATTAATAATATGGGCTAAACATCATACACGTTAGTCTTCAGAATTAAAAGTTATATTATTATTTAAAAAATAACTTTCTAAATAAGTGAATGCAGTATCCATATTATATGCATTATCAGATGTAATGCTTAATGTCTATTAAAAATATTATTTGTTAATTAAAATATACTTATTTTTTATTAATATAAATAAATTAAAAATGTACCTTTTGTAATATTTTATATTCTTTTAAGATTTTATAAAATATATATGAAATATTTTCACCAGAATGAGATCCTTCAAAATGATAAAAATCAAGAAGGATTTCTTTAAGTTCCTAATCTTTTGTAATCCAATGTGCTATAATTCCAAGAAATGGAATTTGATTTTTAGAAGTCCAACAATCAAGAGTAAATGAAATTTTACCCGGTATTTCTTGTAATTGTTTTTTAATATTAACTTTTTCTTCATTATATGCTTTTATAATATTATTATGCACAGTATCAGCAGAACATATTTTTACTTCAAAATTAAGTCTTTTTATCATTGTTTAAAAAAATATATTTTCAACAACAACAAAAGATTGATCATCCATGATTATCCATTTAGTTAAATCATTTAACCAATCTTTTTATGTAAATGTCTATTGTTATAAATTATTAAATTATTAATATTATTATTTAAAATAAATATAATTAAATTAATAAAAATAATATACATACTAAGGAATCTTTTATATTAACATATTTATCCATTGGTCCTTTAACTTTTGAAAATAAATGTGAATGTTTCTTTTTAAGATGAGTTCTTAATGTTGAAGTTGATCCATCTTTAGGAATTTTATAAATTACACTTAAAAAAAAATCAAATTAATTTTTATATTTTAATTATTATTATTACTAAAAATTTAAATTTTACCTGCAATGATTACAGTGATATTTGTTACTTTCTTTATTGAGAGTATAATTACTATGAATTATAGATCTCTGTTTTTTTTTATCCTCATAATTAGATCCCTCATCTTGGATATTTTGGTTAGGATCCTTCACATCTTGAATGGGTTCTTCATTTAAAAATTCTTCACCATTATCAGAATATGATTCATTTTCCATTTTATTAAAATTTTTTTATTAAATAAATTATAAAAAAATTAAAAGATAAATTAAAGTGCCAGATAATTTTCTATGATATTTATAATGTTGTAATAAAGCTAGTAAAGTGCCAGATAATTTTCTATGATATTTATAATGTTGTGATAAAGCTAGTAAAGTAACAAAGCAAGTGGCAAAAGCTAATAAAGCCAATTAATTAATTAAATTATAAGCTAAATGGCTAAATGTGGCAAATTTAAATAGTAAAAGACCAAGTGAAAGCAAAGATAAATGATATTTTTAATAAATACAAGCTAATTAGCAAAGTCATCAAAGCCAATTAGCAAATTATATGGCAAAATTTGATAGGGCCAAGTAGCAAAAAGCTAAGTGGCTAAGCAAACAAAATTATGTTGCAAAATTAATTACAAAGCCAAGTGGCTAAGATATCAAAGTTAAATAGCAAATTTATATGGCAAAATTTGATAAGGTCAAGTAATAAAAAGTTAAGTAGCGAAGCTAGCAAAACTAGGTTGCAAAATTGACTTACAAAGCTAAGTGGCGGAGTTATCAAAGCCAAGTAACAAAATTATATAGCAAAATTTGATAAGTCCAAGTAAGTGGCAAAGCTAGCTAAGATTAATTGCAAAGAGAAAATACGAATATTCTACTTAAAGAAAATAGTCAAACATTCATTTGACAATTTCACATTCCGCAGCTTTTCACAGTAATATTTTTATTGTTAATAAACGATTTTTAATCGTTAATTTGGAATGATTAAATTTATCATTCCAAACGAATGATAAGAAAATCGTTTATTTGGAATGATTGAAGTTATTGTTTGATTGGAACAATTAAATTATCATTCCAAAAGAACGATAAAAAAATCGTTCAATTGGAATGATGAAATTATCGTTCCAAACGAACGATAAAAAAATCATTCATTTGGAACGATTGAAGTTATTATTCCAAAAGAATGATAAAAGAATTGTTCATTTAAAACGATTGAAGTTATCATTCCAAACGAACGATAAAAGAATCATTCAATTGGAATGATTTAATTATTGTTCTAAAAGAATGATAAAAGAATCATTCATTTAGAATGATTGAAGTTATCATCCCAAACGAACGATAAGAAAATTGTTTGATTGGAATGATTAAATTATCGTTTCAAATGAACAATAAAAAATTGTTCAATTGGAATGACGAAATTATCATTCCAAATGAATGATAAAAAAATCGTTCATTTGGAATGATTAAAGTTATCGTTCCAAACGAACGATAAGAAAATCGTTTGATTAGAGCGATTAAATTATCATTCTAAATGAACGATAAAAGAATCGTTCGATTGGAATGATTTAATTATCATTCTAAATAAACGATAAAAAATTGTTCAATTAGAACGATTAAATTATCATTCCAAAAGAACGATAAAAAATCGTTCAATTGGAACGATTAAATTATTGTTCTAAATGAATGATAAAAGAATTATTCTTTTGGAATGATTGAAGTTATCGTTCCAAATGAATGATAAAAAAATCGTTCAATTAGAACAATAAAATTATTATTCTAAACGAACGATAAAGAATCGTTCAATTGGAATGATTTAATTACCGTTCCAAAAGAACGATAAAAGAATCGTTAAATTGGAATGATAAAATTATCATTCCAAATGAACGATAAAGAATCGTTCAATTGGAACGATTTAATTACCGTTCCAAAGAATGATAAAAGAATCGTTTATTTGGAATGATTGAAGTTATCGTTCATTTGGAATGATTTAATTATCATTCCAAAAGAACGATAAAAAATCGTTCAATTGGAACGATTAAATTATCGTTCCAAATGAACGATAAAAGAATCATTCATTTGGAACGATTGAAGTTATCGTTCCAAATGAATGATAAAAAAATCATTCAATTGGAATGATGAAATTATCGTTCCAAATGAACGATAAACAAATCGTTCATTTAGAACGATTGAAGTTATCGTTCCAAAAAAATGATAAAAGAATCGTTCATTTGGAACGATTAAATTATCGTTCTAAACGAATGATAAGAAAATCGTTCGATTTGAACGATCTGAAATTTTGGATTAATCCGAAATTTTCAGTTCAGTTCAGGTTTTTTTCGGTTCGAATTAGATTTATAATCCGAAAAAAATCTGAACTGAACCGAAAATTTTTGGATTGAATTTTTTGCAATCCAAAACTGAACTGAAGTTGATCTGAACCGAAAATTTTTAGATTAATCTGAACTGTTCAGAGCTTTAATAATTAATAATATATATTGTAAATAAATGAAGTTAATAGTATTAAATCAGTATTAACATTTGGCCATTTGGTCAGTGTTTGGTTATAGCTATTTGGCTATTTAGCTGCAGCCAAAATGGCTAAATTTTATTTTAAGTTTGGTTTGGTTAAAAATATTATTTTATATATAATAGCTTACAAAAGAAATACATATAATTGATTAATTTTGAAAAGCTATAATTCTCTAACCACAAATGCTAAAATTATAATCTTATACTTATTTGAAGCTTAAATTTTAAAGAATATTCTGATAAAATTTAATATTTAATTAATAATACTGATAATATATATATTTTATATAACTAATGATTTACATTAAAATTTCTTACATAATAAAGTTTGAAAAATATTTTTAACTAGATATGCTACTACAGAGGGTCTCCAAAAATTTACGCACACTTTTTTTGTATGAATTTTAATAATATTTTTATTAAGTAAGCAAATGATCATCAAATAATAAATATTGTTTCTAGAATAGTAAATTAAACTTTGTACTAAGCTGTTTATTATTTGATTGGACCACCATTTTCATCTAAATATATCACTAACATCATAAATATAATAAATATCACAAATTTCGCAAAAATCGTAAACCCTACACGATTTGTTTTATACACTCATAATTTGAGACGACTGTGTGAATTTTCTTACACTAATTAAAAAAGAATAAATAAACTAAAAAAAAAACAAAAAAAATTTTTTAACCTTACCTTAAAAAAATGGGTAAAGAAAAAGATCTTATTGAGTCCCAAAAAGGCGCTATTCTTTATGGATATCAACTTGGCCATTTATGTAGAAAAATTGCAGAAACTGTAGGATGTGGACCCTTTGCAGTTTCAGCTTGTATAAGAAGGTATAAAGTCACTGGGTCTACTGATATAAAGCCACGTTCTAGGTGACTACGCCTTTTCACAACTCTAATTGTAACTAACTTAAATGATTGGTTATAAAGAAAAAAAATCACTGCAAATGTACCCGTGAAGTGCAAGCTCTTTGGAAAAAGAAGTCAGGGCAGGATGCTTCTACCCCTACCATCTGTCAAACACTTCATATTATTGGATTAAATAATTGTGCAGCTAGGCGAAAACTATTCATTTCACCTGAAAACATAGTGAAGCGACTTGCATAAGCACAAGAGCATGCATACTGGACTGTGCAAGGTTCTTTAGACTGATAAATCAACTTTTTCTCAGTTTCAACAATCACGTACTAGCCAGGTTTAGCGAGAACTATCTGAGGAATGGTTACCTGCTTGTGTTTCAGCAACAGTAAAGCACAGTCCAAGTCAGATGTTCTGAGGATGTTTTTCTGCACAAGGATTAGGGCCAATTGTCCCTTTAGTTGGTTCTGTAAATAGTGCAGTGCATCTCAAAACTATACACAAGCATGTTATTCCTACTATAGAGCAATTTTTTTCAAATAGTGATGGTATTTTTCAAGAAAACAATACTTCTTGTCACAAAAGCAAAATTGTTGCAGAATTCGTGTAAAAAAAATATCCGAACCCTTAAATGACCTGCTCAAAACCCTGACCTTAACCCGATCGAAAATTTATGAGACGAAATTAAAAAATCCTTCAAAGCCGAAAAGTAAAGCCCACTAACTTTTCTTCACTTAAACGACAAGTATAAAAGACTTGGAAATCAATTATTTTCGAAAAAATTGAAAATTTCGTCGAAAGTATGCCTCAATGAATTCAGGTGATAATAAATGCAAATGGTGGTCCAACCAAGTATTAAACCCTTAATAAAATATATATTTTAATAGTCTAGGAACATTATTTATTATTTGTAAATTGCTTAATTTTTTAATAAAATTTTGAGTAAATTCGCACGAAAAAAGTGTACGTAAACTTTTGAAGACCCTTTATATAATACTGATATTGGATTCTAATTCTACTCAATATAGTAATTCAAATTTATTAAAATCAGGTTAGCTGATTAGGAATCATTATATAGCAAAGATTAGTTAATTACTATATAAATTGTTTAGACTAATTTTATATAATAATTAATTAATCTTTATTGTATAATAATTTTTAATTGAAATTATCATATTAAAAAAATAGAATCTAATATCAGTTTTACAGTAGTTAGTTTGCTTAAAAATTTTCTATACTCAATTTTATTATATGATAAATTTTGATATAGATTATTAGTTACATAAATTTATATTATTAACTAAACATTAAATTTTATCAAAAATTTTTTCAAAATTAGAGTTTAGAATAAGTATAAACTTATGATTTGTAATTAATGAGTTCTAGTCTTTCAAAATTAATTAATTATAATTGTGTTTTTTTGTAAATCATTATAAATTATTTATTAATTTTAATTTTTTATTTTATAAACGATCTTATTAATTACAAATATTAAAAATAAAAATATTTTATATTATTTTAATCTTTAAAATTTGAAAAATATTAAAAATTTAAATATCTATTTAATAATTTTAAATAATTTAATAATTTATATTATTTATTTTTTTTAATTAAGCAATTATAATAAAATTAATATTTATTTTGAATTAGAAATTATAAGAAAATAATTATTAATTTAAATAAATTTTATTATTATATAAAACAATTTAAATTTATTATTAATTTATTTAAATTAATATAATTGTTTTTTTTTAATTATTTTTAAATTTTAATAAAATAATAAATTTTTATTTAATATAATTTAAATAAAAAAAATAATAATAAAATTACAAAACTTTAATCATAATAAATTTAAAAAAAACTTCTATAAATATATTAATTTAATATAAATTTATTCTTCATTAATAAAAAATAGAATATCTAAATTATCAATAAAAATACTTTCAATATTTCATTTTGCTTCTTGATCTAATGCAGAATGTAATTGATCAACTAATATTTTATTAATTTCAATATCATAATCAAAATCCATTTCAGTTTATTGTTTAGCTTCTTTTTCTTATATTAGTAATTCTTCCCAATTTTAATTAATTTATTTCAATTTAAAATTTGATTATCATCATTTATTTCTTTATTATTTAAATCTTCTTGAATAATATTTTCTTATATATTTTCTGCTTGACTATCTTTATAAATATTAATAATATTTACTTCTTGAGTTTCTAAATCTAATTCAATTATTGATCTAGCTTTTATTTCATTTATTTTATATTGAGCAATAATAAAACATGTAATTTACTCATATTAAGAGCTTTTTCATAATATTTTTAAAAATATAATTAGAAATATTAATTAAAATAATAATTAATAAATTTAAATAATATTATATACTTACATTTAATCAATTATGTCATTTATTATGAAGAATCCCATACATGATCAAAGTCTTTCAACTGAAGTAGCATTAATACAAATTTTAAAAATTTGTTAAGTAACATATCTAAGTTCTTTAGTTATTAGTGATACCTATGACCAAAAATCTAAAATATTTTTCTCAAATTGATTAATTAATTTTTTATCAAAAGGATATTGATTTTTTTTAAAATTTTCATATTCACGTAATATTGATTTTGATTTTATTTGTAATCAAATTTTATAATAATAAATTAATTATTTACTAAGATATACATGATTTAAATTTAAAATATCAATTTTAAATTTTGACATTTTATATTTAGGATGTAAAAGCTATAATAAAAGTAATAATGGTTATTTCTAATTTTGCTATTTTTTTTTTGAAGTTGATTAAGCATCTTTATTTTAAATTTTATATCATCATAATTTTTTCAAAATTTTACAAAAAATCCAAATCTATATAAAACATCATGTAATCTTGCTTTATTTTTTTGTAAAATATTTAAAATCTTGCAATATGATTCAAGTAATTTTACAAGTTCTAAAAGTAATTACTACCAACTTTTATCAAGTAAAGTAGAAGCAATATCAACAGGAATATATATTGGATTATTAGGATAATGACGAGATATTAATTGTTCAAAAGATTCAAATTTTAATCCTAAAGTCTTAATTTATAAATAAATAAATAAAATTAATAAAAAGATAATTATTTTTAAATATTATATATTAAAAATATAATACCTATAAAGCTGCTTTTAATTTAATTAAAGTATGAAAATATTTATAATAACTATTCTATCTTATATCATTTCCAATAACAATTTGAACATATTTTTCATATGCTTTTTTTTGTAAAGATCAAAGTTGATTAATAAAATACTTATTATTTGATGATTTAAAAAAAAATGCAATTTTTATTACTTTTATTGATACTTGCTTAAATTTTTCAGATTCTTTAAAAATTTTACCAATAAAAAGATTCATTTGATAAGCAAAATATGGAAGAAAAATAATATGTACATATTTAAGTCAAAGTTTACGTCTATTAAATAAATAAAATTAATATAATAATATAAAATAATACTTATAAAAATAAAATATAAATACCTTGAAGTAGCATAACTTGATGCACTATTTGTTACAAGTGCAATAAGATTTACTTGCATATCATTGATTTCTTTAAATATAATTTCTGTTTTTTCAAAAATTTCTTTCTATTTTCTTAACTCTCTACTAATATTTATTGCTTTTCAAATTAAAACTTCTCATTCTGATGTAATAAAAACTAAACCAAGAATATTTTGATTTAAAACATTTGTTCAACCATTAAATATTAAAGTAACTCTAATAGTATTAGTTTTTATTGTTTTAATTCATTTTAAAGTGATTTTAATTCTTTATTTAACATTTGTTTTCCTAAAGCTTTACGTAATGAAATATTTAAAGCTGAATTTAAAAAATAAAAAAGTTTTTGAACTTCTTTATTTTCAATCTATTGTAAAGAAAATCCTACAGAAATTATCACTCAAATTATTAATTTTTTAAATATATATTAATCATTTTTTGAAAGTGATCAAGACATAAGTGATTTAGAAAAAAAGAATCAAGTAGACTAATTGATATATTAGATCTATTATCTATAAGGAAAGGACCAGAAATAATGTCATTTAATAGAGGGAGGAGGGGGTCCCAGTTGATGATGGTTATACAAATCCTTTTTTAGACAAATAGGTAAGAGGTGCAGTTGATGACATTTACATGAATCCTAAATCTATAATCCAATTATGCTATAACTATATGACTATATATACTACACGTACTGCGTAAAGTGGTAAATTGTTACATTAATGGCAGTATTACAATAGTGGTAATACAATTTTTTTAAAAAAAGTGTTCTAAAAAAGTGTTTTAAAAAAATTCACTTTTTACTTTTGCATTTAAAAATGTAAAGAATTATTTAGTATTACAAATTGTTAACAATAAAACAAACTTATTTTCACAAACAAAAATATTTCAAGAATTACCTTATTTTAAACCCTTAAAATACTTATGAATAATATATAAATACCTATGTATTTTCTAAAATGATAGAAAACCATAATATTGCATCAAATAAAAAGGAACTTCAACTTCAAGCATAAAGTAGTTAGCGAGAAGTTAAAAAGGAAAATAAGAATTATATTTCTAATCTTATTTTTAACTTACTAAAAATACCTATTCAACCTTCTCCTTTTACTTTCATTTTACCTTCACAATAAAAATCTACAACTAAATCTTCACCAGCATTTTCAGATATTCTTTCTAATTCTCTTAATAATATTTAATCTTCACCTAATATATTAACACAAAATTAATCATGTAATATCATTCAAAAAGCCAAAACTGAAGTATATAAGTATACTAAGTTGTTACAAGTAGCAACATCATCAGAAGTCCATTTACAATTTTCTTTAAAAATTTAAGTATTAAAAAGACTATAATTATTGATGAAAAAAGGTTTAAACATTTAAAAAGTAATACGACTACTCAAAAATGATCTTGAGAAAAGAAAAAGAAGAAGCTAAAAAAGAAAATATTGTAGAAGTTTATAATACATCAGGTCGTCTGTCATATTTAATAAATGATTCTAATCTTTTAGAAAAGATGCATAGCTATATTGAATTTGGTATGGCAGATCATAAATAACATAAGAAAATAATTAAGGTTCAAATGATCAAGCATCTCTAAGAAGTAATGGAAGACACCTACAATATATATATATCAAAATCTACAGTTCAAAATTATATACAACCTCAGCATTCAGCATCAATGGAAGTATATTGATACTATCATTCTGCACAAATACGTTTAGTGGCTATTAGAAAAAATGAATGTGAGACCATATCAATGAATATTATTACCTAGCTTCAGTTAAAGATGTGAAATTATTTATATCTGCTTTTTCACAAAATATTATTCTAATTTCATAAGACGATAAAGCTAAAGTAATTTTTATTATTTATATAGGTAGAATTTGACTAGTATAACAATTTTAGATAAATTACTTTAGTTATTTAAATTATTTATTAAATTATATATCATTTTTACAAATAAAACTTAGTTTTGTATAGTATAATAAAAGCTTTTATAATTATATATTTAAAATTGTTATTAGGTTTCATTAGGTATCGCTACTGTTGAAAAAACATTTAAAATAATACAGACATCAAATGAATTTGTATCAATTCCTGACCATAACTTCTCAGTAGGCTATAAGCATAAACTAATACCATCCATATACTTGTTAATTGATCTTAGCAATACAAATGATTCTTTATAATCTGAAAAGTTACGAATTTTCATTTGCCCTGAATATTTTTTGGAAATATCATATGAAATACACATGATCAATCTTATGACAATTGTAGAGGAAAAGGCTTATCATGAATTTACACATCATAAAGGCCCAGTAAAATCTATCTGGTATTTATTAACAAATGGTAGACCTGATAAAAATCCTTAATTTCTTGCCAATATTTTAAAATATATGCTTATTTTTAAAAGCTTAAATTAGACTATCTTATAATGTGAACACATGCACTAGGATAGTCAGCATATAATTTAATAAAAATAAGTATATTATTATTATCTGATAAATTAGTAGGTATTATATTGAATACTTTTAATTATGAAAATCATCTTAATAGTATAAATAGACAAGTTTCGATAGTTGGTAAAGAACTTGGAATATAAAAACTTTAAACATGCTAAAGAGCATCTTTGTAAACTTTGAAATTATAATCTTATTAACAAAAAATCAGTTGTTGTAATATATATCAAAAAATATGATGATATTATGTTTTCAGATATAGAAGAAAGAACATAGGATTAGATCGATCATTACTCACAAATTTGCAAATATTCTTTTGATTTTTACGAATATGTGATGACTGAAGCTGCTGTGAACTATCATGAGTTACCAATACCTTTGAACTTTTATCATTAAATAATGGCTTTTTCCTCCTATTATATAAGGATAAGATAAATACTTTCTTAATCTAATACATACATTAGAATTTTTTAATGATAAGCTTCCTAGCTATGATAAATATTATCCAAGTATTTCATCTGAATTATATCGTAAATTTATATGCTAAAAATGTAAAAAATATTTTTCAATAAAAGCATTTATAAAAATGCATATTAAGAATATGCATCTAAGTGAAAGAGAAATAATGCGAAAGATTGATAATAATAAAACTTCAATTGAAAATTATGATACAAGAAATGAGTTGGCAAATTATACAGAAAAGTCTAGATATATAGACTAATTTATTAATTATAAGGACAATAAAATTACAATAATGCAAGTGTATTGTTAACGTGCAATTCTTGTGAATTACGACAGTTAGATGAGGTGTTCGAGTGGTGATTCTTTTAAGTTTACGTAGTAATTTAATCTCAGTTTAACTCAAGTTTATATAATTTACACGACAGTATACTTTCGACAAAGTTAAAGGAAAAATAGCAATTGATTCAGAAATATAATAATATGTTTATTGATGATAAATATTAGGAATAAAATAATAATATATGAGATAAGAAAATAAAAGAATAAGAGAAATCAACGAGTTAAGGTACTAATTGAAATATTAGGCCCGACGCCTCTACAAGAAATACTAGACGTATATCTAAAAGTAAGACTAAAAGCAACTAAAAAGTGAACTAAAAGTGAACTACTGTTTACATAATTCTATTGCTCTCTATTTATATTAAATTAATACATAGATGGATATAACAAATAAATCAAATATATCTAATATGTCCGATATGTCCAAGATATCAATTATATCAAATATGTCCAATATATCAAACATATCAAATATGTCTGATATGTCTAACATTTAGATCTGCAATATACTGCATCACGTTCATCAACCCAATCCTGTTACAGTATAAATAATAAAGAGGTAAAATAAGGCAAATAATTCTTGAGACCAGGATTATTTTACATTTCAAATTTAATTTTAATATATATATATTATAATAATTAAATATAAATAAAAAATTCAATATTTAGCATCTTTAAATTAAACTAATACATTATATAAACTATCTAAACTATATATTTTGATTAATGATTTTGATTAATCAATATTTAATATAACAAATTTGACATTCAGAATACAATTAGTGTTGAATCAAGGGTTAAATTAGAATTGAATCAGTGATTAATTAGATGTCAGCAAAGAATTGGAATACTATCAAATGATTAAATTCCATTTAATTTTTGCAATTATATCAAGTCTGATAATTAGTTTTTATTATATATTTATTTAAGTGAAAATCTGTAATATTCTGAAAGTTTGCTTTATTGTATTATTTGTTATATTAAAATTCACTATAGGTAAGTTGACTGTAATTTCATTTAAGTTTATTTTACATTATATTTTTTATTTATATTTTTTATCATGTAATAATTGATTTCTTTAAATGGAATTGATAATAAAAAGGAGGAGAATTTTAGAAATTAAAATGATATTATTTCTGGCTCTCCTCTAAATTATAATTATTAATATTAATATATAATTTTTTATAAATTTTAAATAAAATAATTAAAATAAATATATATACTTATTTGTGAATTAAAACTATATGTTATTAAACTGTTAGATTCTCTACATAAATTTTTTTTTTGAAATTAAAATTTTTTATTATTGTTAAATTCATCATTTTCTTCTAATTCTAATTCAAAAAATTCAGCAAATTGTTGAAGAAATTTATTTTTAAAATTATTGCAATTTTTTAAATGAGTCTGAATCTATTCACTTTTATTTAGTATTTTTTTAAGTAAAGCTACTTGACAATCTTCAATATCTATGCAAGTAATGCAAATACAATAATATCGATATAGATCTGCTTTTTCAGTTAAAATTTCAATATAATGTTTATAATTATGTGACATATTAAAAACTTATAAAAAACTTATAAAAAACTTATAAACTTATATGATACATGCAGTTTAAAATTACCACTTTTTTATTTTATGATCAAAATTTATAATTTATAAATATGTCACGTTGAAAAATTTTATTGTTCAATATTTAAATCACATGATTAAACTTTACAAAGTAATGCTAGATAAATTTTATTAAAATTTTATATTATTACATTTTCAGAAATATGCTGATGTGATCTATATTATTTTAGAGTATATAAAGCTATAATACCTATTAAACCTTTTTTGTATGCATCTATAAATCTCTAAGAATGATAAGCATATTATCTAATTTGCTCTAAAAAAATAGAATTTAATGCTTCAGAAACAGTTTTTTCTAATGCTTTAAATGAGTAATCACAATTGTTATGAGTAAATCGTTTAGCTGCATCCCAAAACATTTTAATGAAATTAAGTTCATAATGAAATTTTAGATAGAAAATAACTTTATATTCATGATTCTCAATAACCTTTCCAATAAGTGGCTTTTGTGCCAAAAAATCTGGTTGAATTGAAAGTAAACAAACTGCATAACAATTATTTAAAATTGGTAAATGCTTTATATAATCATTACAAATACATTTTAATTGATTTGTAACCATAATTCACATTCTTCTAAAACTAATTTAATACCTTTTGGTTGCCCATTTAGAAGATACATTAATTGTATCAATCTATCTGACATTAATCTATCTTTAAACTTTTCTTTGTCATCAGGTTTAAGATTCGTTTGTGAAATAATAAGAGCATCTTCAGCATATACTGTATGACTTATTGCATTATCAAATGCAAATATACCAATATCATTAGGATGCAATTGCTCAAATATAGGAATTGCTTTTTTAATTATCTAACATTAAAAATAAAAAATTAAATATTAATAAAGCAAAAGATATTTTTAAGATAAATAATTTATATTACCTATTTAATTAAATCATCAGTTTTCCACTATCTATCACAATTAATTTCTGGTTTTATCATAACACATGCTTCTTTATTTTCAAATTTTAATTGTCTATCAACTTCTATAAGAAAATCACTAACATGTAAACTTAATCCTATTCCTTTTTTGCAAAGTGGCTGATGTTCATCTGATTTCTAAAAAGTTTTTTTTTCTATCATTAGTATAAAAAACAGATTCATCATATGTTACCAATATATTATGTTTTTCATTTACTTCTAAAATTGATTTTTCTAAAACTATTATATTATTATTTAAAAGTTTTGCCATCCATTTTTCCAACTCTAAAATTTCTTTTAAAAAACTTTATCTATATTCAACTATATTAGATCTTTCATAACCATCATAATAAATATCTTTTCTTTTAATACAAAATTTCCACCTAAAATGTTTTAACCAAGTGCGAGCTATATTATCTAAAATTGTTTTTTCTTTTTCAATTCCTATATTTGAAAATACTTTCTGTTCAATATATTCTTTAAATCCATTTACAGTTACATTACAACCAATACTTTAAAGATATTCTGTAATCATTTGATGAATATCTTTATCATCTAATAAACTTTTCACTTTTTGATGCTTTTCACGCATTAATGTTAGAATTTGATAATTAATAATAAAATTTTTAGTTTATGATCTAATTAATCATATTTGATATTCTCTTTTTCTAATGCTAATTGCAAAATTTTTACTTGCATCTATACTTTTAAGATCATTTAATCTCAAATTAATATATTGCATGATGAGCTGTAATTGGACTTTAACTTGTAAAATAAGAGATTTGTTAACAATTAATTTTTTTATATCTTCTAATATTAGTTCAAATCCTTTTTGTTCTTGAATTTTTTCAAGTTGTTTCACTTCAGTTGCAAGCTCATTTGCAATTTGATATGGTATTTGTGAACTAGATAATGATGATTGAAGAGTGGAAAAAAAGTAACAAGTTTGGAAATACTTTTTGTTGCAATATTAACACTTAATTTTTTACACCTTTGTGTTCTTTCCAAATTTTAATATAAACTAATGATTGATTATTTGCAAATACTGACAAATTCCTTGCATTTTCAATTATAATATCAAAAATATGTTGTGAAATTTTATTCAAACTATTTTTGAATTCATTATCATGTCAATCATTATCAGAATTATAACATTCTGATAATTCACTATCTGAAAACTTATCAGAGAATTCACTATTATCTGAAATTATTTTTGCAGCTGCAAACTTTTCATTTTTTTAGAAGTATTTATAATAAAAAATTTGGATGTAAAATGCTAGCAACACACATATTTTATTATATAGAAAAATCTGTGAACTTTAAATTATTAAGTTACTTCCAAATTATGAATTTTAACCTAAATTACGTTAACACTAGACTGGTTAATTTTCTTCCAAATTTAATAAACTGACCAAAATAAAAATCTATATACTATATGTTATAATGATTTAATTTGAAAAAACTTTCTGTTATGTAAAAGAGCACTGTCTAATCTATAATTTTACAGAGTAATTTTTAAAAAATATTTATTCAATTTTCTTTTCTATTCAATTAAATTTATATTACAAAAAGTAATAGTTTTAGACTGTATGCACTATAGCTTATTGAAAAATTTGAAAATAAAAATTTAAAAGAATTTGAATGTATATGCATATATGCATGCAATATCAATAAAATTTTTATTTAAAATATGCTATATATCATTTAGATCATTGTATTTTCATTAAAAAATGCAAATTGTGCTGCAATAATATACATTATGATGAAATTAATAAACGTCTGAGTTGAAATATCAACTTATTGCATTTTTATATATTCTGATACCTCTGATACTTGAGATGTCTAATTTGTTGCAAAATTGCAAAAATTGACATTTCTGACGTTTAGAATGTTAAATTCTTGCAAAATTGTAAAAACTGATGCTTCTGACATTCAGGACATTAAAATTCTTGCAAAATTATAAAAATTAATATATCTGACATTCAGAATATTAATATTTTGCAAAATTTCAAGAATAAGTGACATCTATGATATTCAAAATGTTAATATTTTGCAAAGATTGCAAAATTGATGCCTCTGATATTCAGAGCGTTAAAATTCTTACAAAATTGTAAAAATTGATGTTTTTGACATTCAGGACGTTAATATATTTGCAAAATTGTAAAAATAGATACCTCTAACGTTCAGAATGTTAATATTTTACAAAATTATAAAAATTGATGCTTCTATTATTTGGAATGTTAATATATTTATAAAATTGTAAAAATAAACGCTTCTGATATTCAGAACATTAATATTTTTGCAAAATTGCAAAATATTGACTCTTCTGACGTTCAGAACGTAAATTTCTTATAAAATTGCAAGAATTATTAACGTCTCTGATATGCAAAATATTAAATTCTTACAAAATTGCAAAAACTGATACTTCTGACATTTAGGATGTTAAATTCTTGCAAATTTGCAAAGATTGTTACCTTTGACATTCAGAATGTTAATATTTTTGCAATTATGTAAGAATTTTAACATCATGCATGTTGGAGATATTAATAATTCTTGCATTTTGCAAGAAATTTAATACTCTAAATATCAGAGATGTCAGTTTTTGCAATTTTTGCAAATAAACTGTAACCAAAATTTGTGAAGTCATGTGACATTTGGCTGATTTAGCTGATTGGCGATTTTGATCATGACCAAAATTAGCTATTGGCCATGGCCAAATACCAATTAAATTTTAATTATTAATTTTAGTCGATCAGCTAAATCAGTTAACAGTTAAATCAACTAATAGCTAAAAATTAGGCTTGGCTACGACCAAATGCTAACTATATATTAAATAATATAAAAGTAGAAATATTAATAATATTTAATATTAAAAAATAAAATAAAATAAATATAATTAGTAATATAAAAGAAATAATTAAATATAATTAGTAATAAATTAAATATTAGCAATAAAATTTAATATTAAAAATATAATATTCAAAGAAGTAAATATACTTGATAAAAGGAGAGAAAAGAGTAAATGTAAGAAATAAAAAATAAAAAATAGTATAAATAAACAAAAGTAAATATAAGATCTGATATAATATAAAATAATTACCTGATTGATTAATTCATAAAATCGTATAATAAATTAAAAAATATAAAGCAAAAATTAGAACAGGTAGATGGAAAATAAATGATATAGAAGAGAAAATTGTAATTATACTTAGACTGATTTGCAAAAAACTGTATCTGAAGCTTTAGATTCAATTCTTTAATTACAATTAGGCATTATACTCAAAATCTTAGAGATTTATGAATATTTATATAAACGGAATTACAGAAAAATTGGTAAAATTTGCTGCTAAAAAGTATAAATCGCATAGAAAATTATCTGATAATATTTATAATGAACTTAAGTTAAATACTACAGTTAATTCTTTTACAATAAATTTTGATATAACAAATTTTACAATACAACAGATTTTCATTATAGAATAGATTTTTAAATATAAAAAAAACCTTACTATATTGAATTTGGTAATTAAAAATTTATACTATGTTTAATGAATTAAAGTTAGAAAAATTTATATATAAAAAATGACCTTTTTTATAATGAATTGTCTTTATAACAAATTTTTTTTATACAATAAAATTTTGTTTAACTAAATTTATATATATAAAATTTGTAGTTTTCTGTACCTAGTTTTTAAATAAAATAAACAATGAATAAATATTTTATATTATACATTATGTCTTGTATTTTATGATTTTTTTTTATATGTTTTATTTTTTACTTGTTTTTTCTTTACATAATGCTAAAAGTAAACTTAAAGAAATAATTTAATGAATCTACTAATAAACAAGATAAACCTTTAAAAAAATGAAAATCTTTTACAGTTGCAAAAAAAAGAACTTTATTTGAAAAAAATATCATCACCTTATTTAAAACAAAAAGACTTATCTAATGAATATGACATTAGTGAAAGCATGATAGTGATATTTTAAAGAAAAAAGATCAATAGCTTTCTGTGAATACCAATTTATACTAAGCTAATTTGAAATGTAATAAAAAACTCTATTCCCTCTTGTTGAAGAAGTGTTAACAATTTGGATAAATAATGCATTTAAAGCTAGCCTCATTATTACTGATAATATTCTTTCAATAAAAGCCTTAAATTTTGCTTTTTTTATTAAAGAAGGATAAGTTTAAAGGGTCAAATAATTGGATAGACAACTTTAAAAAATAACATAATTGTAAATAGTACTATATATATAGAAAAGTATAAATGCGTTACTTAAAGATCTTGAAATATTGAGAGAGAATCTCTAACAAATATTAAAAGGTTATAGTCCTGAAAATATATTCAATTGTAACAAAATAGGACTGTTTTGGAAGATGAAACTATGTTAAATAATATTTAATGAATAAACATTAAGAACAAAATAATCAAAGGATTATGTAATAGACCTATTCACATGTAATGTAACAAGAAGTAAAAAGCTGATGTCTTTATTCATACATAAGTATGAAAATTCTAGAATTATTAAAAACATTGATAAAAGAACGCTTCCAGTCAAATACTATTGAAACTTAAAAAGTTGAATGCAGGTTTTAATCATAAAAAAACTTGATATAAAAATGAGAAAACAAAATCAGAAAATTTTCTTTCTTGTGAATAATGCTTTAATATATACTCTTTATAAAACCCCTATCTGACTAATATTATTATTTAATCCCTCCTTTTAAATACCACTATACATCTCTAAACTTGTAATCAAGGTATTATAAATAGTTTTAAAGTGAGAAATGTAATTGATTTAATAATTCTTTAGTTAAAATATAATTGACATTATTATATTTTATGTTTATTGATTTTTTTACTAAATTATAGTGAATAATTTTATAATGAATTTTATTTATAACTAAGGTGATGATTTATTATTATTAATCTACTCTAATTATCTAATGTAATATTTATTAAATTCACATAAGTTATATTTGAATTGATCTAATTTTTATAAATAATGCAATGAATTATTATTTTGTTTTTTGTTTTAATACAAATCAGAATTTTGATCACGAAGAATTCTTTTTGTATTATTTCAATCATGAGTTTTACTTATTATATTTGGATTGATCTATTTTTATAAATAATATGATACACAATTATAATATGATGCTTAAATTATTATTTTGACTTTTTGTTTTTAATACAAATCAGAATTTCAATTAAGATTATATTATTTCAATCATGAGTAAAGAATTTCATAAGATATCAAATCAAATAGATAAATTTATTTATAAAGGAAAGTATTTTTATCATTGTATAATTTTTTACCTTTTGAATATTAAATCTACCTTTATATCACTTAATTTACTTCTTTAAATCTTTTTTAAATTAAACGTAAAATAATCACAAGAATAATTTGAAAAAATAACGAAATTGATTTATTAGTCAAGAAAAGAAGGAGAAAAAATAAAGAATATCATATTAGATATAGAGAAAATAAAATAGAATTCTGAAGAAGTACAGTCAACTCTCTATAAATGCACCCTCTATAAGTGCACACCTTATATAAATGCACCCTATAGCCCGGTCCCAAGCTCGGGACTTAATGCTAAATGCACTCCCTCCCTTTTTGCACCGTGCAACGATTTTTTAGTCCGGACTATATATGCGATCATCTCTCTAAATGCACCTACGTGACAGGCACGTAACTTTATCGCAAACATTTCATCATCGTACGTATAGAAAAAAAAAATTGTCGTTTCAATAAAGTAAAAAAAAAAATACTTTCCCTTTTCTTAGCCTCCATTTTCTCCAGTATTAGACAAAAAAATTCTCATCGGAGGTAGTGTTCAGACCCGTAACATTCGTTAAAACCCGTTAATATTCGTTAATATCAGGTCTACGGTCTGAAATTTTAGCTAACGGGTTACCGCTAACTTTAACAGCAACAACTATCAACTCCAACAACAACCACTAATTTTGACAACTTCCAGTTTCAATTTCCAACTTCAACAAATTTCAAATGCCAACTTCCAGTATTCTTCAACTCAACTTCCAACAATTCTAA